AAAAGCATATTTAGTAAAGAAGGCATGTCCATCTCTTTGATGAACCATGAACCATGTACATGTCAACTGTTACATACAGAGCTTCAGGTATATGTGTCTGAGAAGCCTGGATGAACAGTTTGACAGGAAAAAGTTACTTCATGTATGAGATGACCTCCAGCTTCTCAGGGTGGACCAGTGAAGTTCACCCGGCTCTATTCCTGCAGGGACCTTGCTGGCTTCCATAGTGATGCCCACAGTTTCTGCCAGCATTTTGGTCACCTCTGCTGGGATCCTCGCAGAACTGACAGTTCTGGGGTAGCATCTGTTTTCACAGGAGGCCTCTGCAGTGCATTAACATCACTGGTGCAAGACCCCTAATGCAAAGTGAAAATCTGAGTAGTTCCTGTGTAGATTTTGCCAAAGATTCTCATGCAACCTTAAGACCCATGAGGATGTCACAACCAGTAACAACTTTATTACATGTACAGCCCTTGTTACTTGTCTTTGCTTTGTTTGCAAACTCAACAGCAACAACCAACTGGATGAAAACAGTGCCACTGTTGCTGGTGTGCTCTTCTACCAAGTGCCTCACCTTCCTTGGATCCAAAATGGAACTTTTTAGGATGAGTTGGAGACATGTGAATTGCTTTTTCCTTCTGCAGAGCCAGTGTTACACTAACCAGCATCTTTTTGTACACAGGCTGTTACTCTTTTACTACCTTTGGGCATCTGTAATGGTCCACAACGGTTTCTGGGCACTGTAGTCCTTGACTGTAAGATTTAGTTTTTGAGACTTCTGCCTTCTGAACTCCCTGACTGCTTCAACATGGAATTGAATTGGATCCTGTAGGAATCATCAGGTTCTTCACTGCAGTGAGTAACATAAATGCTTGTTGCTCTTGTCCCAAAAGAGTCAAACAGCTCCTTTCTGTGACTGTAGAATGGGGCTTCAAACATACCATGAAATTCAGCAAAGAATGGAAACATTTTGTGGTCATAAGAAGGAATTGCAGCTAGCAACAAGATTAAGATGCTTTAAGTGCCTGTCTTTGAAAATTTTAAGTTCAGGGTGACGTTGCAGGCATTGATTATTTCATCTCTCTAAAAAGGAGATTGATTTGTATCTCCTGACGTGCAGGATACCTGTTTCACTCCGGTTTTCACTTCCAGGTAAAAGCCCTGCCTTTTGGTGTTTCTGTGGGAAGTGTTCATTCCGGTCTTTGGTCACCAGAGATATCAACACATGAGAATTTTAATTGCTGAGAGACTGGTTTATAAAAGGCTTTTCATAATTTATGTAACTAATTTGGTGAGACTTGTTTGAAAGTTTGAGGCTTGCTTGGTCCTAGAGTAAATGTGTAGAAATTGTACTTAATTCTAAGCTGGTGTTGGTCACAGTTTCAGGTGTTTCTTTCTCAGAGCTGTTTCCATGCTCTGCTGAATGTAGTTTTCACTAGTTTTCAAGTCAGCTACTTGTTGTGCTAGATGTGACTTTTGTTTATTTAGTGACTCTCAGTGGATTCCTTGAACTTTTCTGGTCTTCCTTGACTCCTTGTAAATGGCTAACATCCACAGTATCCTGTGGCAAGGCATTTCACAGCTTACCAAAGTTTGGTGTGAGGAACCACATCCTTTAGATTGTTTTGATCCTGCTTTCTCTGAGCTCCATTTGATTTGTTCTTGCATTGGGAAAAAAAGTGAAAAATTGGTCTTTCTCCACCCTGAGCCACTCATGACTTTACCTTCTGTGACATCCTTCTCAGTCACGTCTTTTCCAAACTTGAGGAATCTTTGCTTGCTTAGGTCATACTTACATAGATGTTGTATGCTTTTGACTACCTTTGCCTGCATCATTTCCAGTTCTGCTTTCTCCCCCGCCTCCCCCTGCCTTAGAGGAGAAGCATTAGAAATGCACATAGAGCTCCAGAGAGAGGTGCTCTGGGGACTTTTGCAGTGGCACAGTGCTGTTCTTTTGGGGTCTCTCTTCAATCTTAGTAGACTCTTAATTACAGCTGCCTCTCTCCTCAGCTGTGGCCTCATTTTGATAGAGTGGGTTTTTAGATTGCTTCCCCAGGGTGGCCTAGGCTGGAATGTCTCATCTACCAGTGCTTGAGCATGTCTGCAAGGTGTATATGTGGGGAGGGGTGGGGTACCAATATGTACCCCTTTTCAAAAGCTTATGCTGAACCTCCTGTTAACAGTTGTACAGCTTTAGTTCTGCCTGCACCACATATGCTCTGTGACTTGCCCTGTGCAAGTACTGTGTTTTCACTGCCCTTCAGCATCCCCATCCATCCCACTGTGACTGTCCTGACAAACCAGGACTTCCCAGCTGGCAAAAGACTGGACAGCGAATAAGAAGCTTCAGGTGGCTCTCAAGTGGGGGAGGAGAATCATGCGCTCTGGTCAGCGCCACTTCTCTCTGCAGAGCCCACTGGCTGCAGTATGTGGGGGGTCTCAAGCCCTGCTGGGCCCTGTAACTGTGCAAGCTATGTCTTCATACCCTGAGAGTGTGGCTGCCTTGCTAGAAGTCATTGCTGAGGCTGGGTTGGCCAATTGATTGGTTTTTGTGGTACTGGTGGTGAGCTGGTGACCTTAACTTCTTGTGTCATCAGGAGCTGGTCTCCATGGTAGTAAATCACTAGCTTTTGTGGGTTTGTGCTGATAGCTGCTAGTGACACCAGCACAGCAGCATGTTACATTTTGCGAATAAGTGAGTTTAAAATGAATTCCACCTGACTGAGATTTTTAAGAGGCGGTTGGATGGGAAACAGAAAAAAGTAAAACTTAACATGAGCAGCTTATCTGAATAGCAGAAGTCTCCTATTATGCATGTTAAGTGCAACAGTGTGTTCTTAATAGCATTTTCAAATAATTCAACCTTTTCTAAACTTTTGTCATGTGTAATTTTGACACTGTTGAGCATGTCTGTGCAATCTGATGCAAGCAGGCGCACACTCACCTTGTCTCTGTTCCACTTTGCTTAGTTTGTGTCTGTTCAAAAGAAGATGATGCTCTTTTTACTGCAAGCAGTTTTTCTTCTTCCAGCCTGTAAATTGTCAAATATATATGTGTGGGAACTTCAGCAGTTTTACTTACTGTCCATCCAGCTGCAGACTTTATTTTTGTTTGTGTCATTTGTAGAAAACAAGCCTGAATACAAGCCATCCTTCCTGCCAGTAAATTACCCTTTTACATAGAATAGTAAATATTTCAAGATAATTTTGATACCATCCTTATTTGAGTGTTCTGCTAAATGTTGGATAAAAAGGAGTTAATTAAAATTCAAATGAACTTTGTTCTTGTTTATAAGGACAGACCATGACTATCTCACTGCAAACCTAACATTGCACAGAACAAGCAAAAAACATACTGAATTAATTCAGTAAACATTTCATAAGGTGTTTTATTGCATCTGTAAATATTTGTTTGTGTTTTGCAAAATAAATATTCACAAGTGCTGCTGTTCCTGTTTCCTAGTTTAGTGTCTGTACCACAAAAATACCTAGAAATTCAGTCAGGGTTGCAGTTTTGTTGTGCTTGTCAGTGTAGGCACCCCCAGACTAACAAAATGCTGATAACATACAAAGCACTTGCAGTGTGGGTAGTTTGACTTGCATGCTGGTACTTCCCGGTGCCATGTTAGGATTTGCTTTCACACATTGTAACTTAGCACGAGTTATGTTAGGATGGGGAGATGCGTGACTCTTTCAGAAACAGATCGTGATTCTGTTGCTTGTGGGGACTTTTTCCAAAGGTGTTGGTCTGGTGTTGGTCCCAGTTCTCTTTGCAACATGGTCTTTGCTTTTTCATAAGCTTCTAAAGAAAACTGAATTTGTCATGTTTATAAAATTAAGAAAACCTTTTCTTTCTAAAAAAAGTCATTCAGAAAAGGTCAACAGTGGGTGTAGTAGATAAGAATTCAAAAAGGCACAGAAAAAAGCCAGATCGTAGGTTGCTGTGGTGTCACAGATTGAGGAGACTTCTGACACCTCTCCTTGAAGTTAGCACTCAAGTGAATGCTAAAGGCAGTTCAGCCAGTTGTGGCCAGAAGCAGTTCTAAGACAAACTGGCAAGTTTGGGATCTGAAAGGATTAATTTACCAGGAAATATTTAAAAGAACAGAAGAAGTGTGACTTAACCAAATGTTTGTGTGTAGGGAATATAATAATTGTGTGCAAACCCCTGCATTCCTGGAGATTAAATGGCATGGGCAGAAAGAGATATTTTTAACTGTCACGAGTTAAGTAAAACTTTTCACTACCCACAACAGACATAGAGGAGCACCCTTTTCCTTTCTGAAAGCAGTTTTCTGTGTATTTTAACACTGGCATTATCTCTCCTTGTAGCCTTTTCCTCCCCAGGCTAAAAAAGCTCAGTGAATTCAGGCTTTCCCCACAGGACGTATGTTCTAGATGTTCTCTGGAGTGGCTTAAATATTTGCCATGAAATTGTTAAGCTCCAAGTAGTTGTTTTCAATTTGTGTATTTAGTTTGGAAGAAAGATTTATGTGCCCAAAAGCTTGCCTACTATTTTCAGCTATCTCAGTCAGTCTAATAAAAGATATTACCTCATCTCACAAACCTTTATCTCATTTAGAGACTTACATCATCACAGCTACAGCAGCGCTGCTTTTACTGTCAGTGCAATAGATTTTATGTCCTGTCCCCTTGATGCTTCCTGTTGCTCCCAGTTTGTGCTTCACCATCTCTGGTTTGTCCTGGCATGCTCATGTGTATTTTTGTACATGCGTCCTGAGTTTTGAAGGTCAGGAGATGCTCATGACTTGTCAAGCTGCTTTCTTACTATTCTTCTGCAATAGGATTGTTTGATTTGTCCCTTAATACTATTTAAGGATTGCAAGTTTTTTGGCGGGTTTTTTTTTGGGGGGGGGGGTTCATCAGGCTCTTTGAAAATTTTGAATGCTGTATGAAGGATAGAAGCTAGTGCTCAGGCTAGATGCATTTGATGTCAAAATATACCTTTTGTTGATACTGATTGGTAACTTTTCATGTTTTAGGAACTGTGGATAGAATGGAAAGCTGAGGAGCTGAACATTTTATTGAAGGCCTATGTGTAGACTCTGATGCTTGAATGAATGCAGAATGAAAATGCTTCCTGGAGTGGGTGTGTTTGGAACTGGCAGCACTGCCCGGGTACTGGTACCCTTGCTGAGAGCAGAAGGTTTCTCCATTGAAGCACTTTGGGGGAAGACTGAAGAGGAAGCCAAACAGCTGGCAGAGGAAATGAACATCTCCTTCTACACGAGTCAGACTGACGATGTCTTGCTGCACCAGGATGTGGATTTGGTTTGCATCAATATCCCTCCACCACTAACTCGGCAAATTGCTGTGAAGGCTCTAGGTATCTTTTTATCTTTGGAGTTGGACCAAAAATCCATAGCTCATTGGCAGATTGAAATTTGAAACTGTTGTCCCAGCATGATTCTGGTTGCACCAACTGCAAATGCAGTGGTAAAGGTTTTGTGTGGAATTGGTAGTGCCATCTGCAAGAAAAACTACCTAGAATTTTTTGTAAAAATACTATTTATAATTGCTTATAGCTTTGCAGATCTTGAACCAATTGGGCTAAAATATCCCATGTCTTCTTCAGACTGAACTTATGGTGGGGAGTTTTTAATGAAAATGAGCTATTTCAGAGATGATGATGATGAGGGGGTAAAATGGTTTTGTGCCCATTTAAAAAACCAAAACCCGAACAACTTAAGTTGCTTAATTCATTCCAAATTTTCCCATGTTCTGCAATAGGAAACTGAGATTTGCCTGGGGTGGGGGGGGGTGTTCAGCTCTGCTTTCTGTTTTCCCACAAATAAAACCAAACTTGAAAGTTAAAAGCCTTTGAAAAAATGTTTGCATGCACTCAGTAGAATCTTGTGAGTTAGGACCTAAATTCTCTGCAGATGCTGCTTTTAGCCAGCATGCTATGACCCTGGCCACTGCCTGGAGCTCTCTTTGGACACCCATGTCCATAGCAGGCTGGTATGGTCCTGGGTTCAGACTTGCTGGAGGAATCTTTCCACCTGATGCAGGGGGGTGGATGCTGGGGGAGGAGGAGATGCAGGAGACAGCAGGAGGAATCCAGCAAGATGGGCTGGGTGAAGGTGGTTGGACGGGGAGGGATGACACCCTGAACTGGTTGGGCTGGGAGGTAGGAGCCAACTGCCTGGGCCTCCTGATATTTCTTAGTTCTCTAGCATGTGACTTTGTAGTGTTAATGTCCTCTCACGTAGTACAGTGTGGGTGTGAATTTGCGTGTAATTCTGTGAATAACAAGTGTGATATTTTTACTGTGTTTGCAGGAGATCCATGAGTTAGTTTTAGGATGGGTAATATCTCAAACCATGTGAACCAGGGTGGTTTGTTGTTCTTACCCTCTTTGCTCTACAGTAGTTTGTTTTGGAAGTAAACAACTCCCCGCACAAATATTTGCAATGCCACTTAGATGTGCAGAGAGAGATTTCAGGCCTTTTTTTTTTCTTTTTTACATTGTTAGATTTGTTTGTTTACCTTGTTAGAAACTGTCCTTTGAATTTAAGGTATTCTGATTTTTTAATATTTGAACTGTAACTTAGAATTTATCTCTTTAAATATTCTAAAAGTCCTTTTAAACACTTGTTAGGTAGTGTTTCACTAGTTTGATGGTCAAGTGGGCTAAAAGGAGAGGATTGAACCTTCTCTGGTGAATTATTAACTAAAATGAATTGAGATTCTTTCTTCGAAGTCGGGGAACCCGTAAGATGGCATTATCCAGAGGAGGAAAGGGGGATAAAGCTTATGCAGAAGTGCAGAGGTGGTTATGTATGCTTGACTGCAAGTATAGATAAGTGGAAAGGTAGAAGAGCTAGGGAAATCAACGGATGAAGTAGTAAAGGGTGGTTTATTCTTCGCTTCTGTCTGTCTTGAAACATTCTGATCTGCAAACTGATGCATCTCAGACCCAATATGATGCTGGCCTTGTCTTTCAGCTTTCTAGGTTCATCACAAAGGTATTTATAGGTCCACTACCAAGTATGCTGTGACATATTTTAAGCCAGTGTTGGATGGCTTGCTATGATTGAGCATTGTGAAGGAACACAAAATCAGGGTAGGGCAAGTATGTTTTCTCTGAAAGTTCAGATAGATAGATACAGTGATGTTTATAATTGGAGAATTACTGGCTGTGAATTGTGTATAATAGATTGGTGTTTACTAGCCGAGCCACTGGGCTTTAGGAAAGATCAGATGTGGTGCAGTGCTAATGGTCTTGTGCGTTTTGTTTTGTTGGGCTTTGTTTGTTTGCTTTTAAAGTGCTTACACTTTTGTTACTTACTTGTATGTGTTTTATACTTACTTTTTTTTAGGCTTTTTTCTGAAATGTGCTTACATTTCTATTTCTGGCAGAGATGAGAGACAGGCACAGTTTTTCCAGGCAGTGCAATTTGCTTGCATAAGTTTCTTACTGACAGACATCCATAAACAAGCCTAAGTACAACTTTGGCATGATGGGGACAAAGCAGTAACACTGGATTGAGTTTGTGAACCAGACAGAACAGATCAAAGCCCAGAGGATAATCCAAATTAAGATCCGTGTAATCTTACGGTTTATCTCCACAACAGGCAAAGCAAGAAGCTATCCTGAAATTTGCGCTTCTTTTGATCTTAGAGGAGCTAAATTAATTTCACAAAACATCTGTGTTGTGGTTCATGTCCTACAGTTAAATGCATCCATCTTTACATTAGGTGAGCACAGAGCAGAGTTACTGGCTGGAGTGGAATGTAAAACATGGGATGTTTGTGCATGAGGCGAAGTTCAGGGAGGCCGAACATGAGAAGTCCTCAGCGTAAAATTTCTTCAGGATGCTAAGATAATGCTGCTGCACATACTGAGCCCAGCCGTCAAACGGACGGTTTGTGGAGTGACTATAGAGGAACCTTTTACTTGTCTCTCTTGGTTTATACTGGTTGACTACATAATTTAAGACATCTTTGAAACATGGATTGTTTGACTACCCTGATTTTGTGGAGTCCCTACAAATTATAGCACCTATATGTTAATTATGAAGGAAAGAGTCAGAAAGGGCTCTATCACTGCTTTGTGTTGTGACAAACACAGATTTCCTGTTCTTGAAACAGGATGAACAAGCATGCTATGAGTGCTCTTTGCATATTGTGCTTCCTGTCTTTGTAACAAGTAGCATGGAGGTCTTTTCAAACCAGAGGCAAACAAGAAATGAAATGAAGGAGTGTCTTTTGGAATGAGCGTTCATTCGCTGGGAGGCTCCCAAAGCAAGTATGTCTGAAACAGCTGGTTATTTGGGAAGATGACTCAGACACTCCCAACTTCTTATGGTGGCCAAAGCATGGTGTGCTTCAACAGCGGCCAGTTGTATCTCTTCCTAGGTGCAACCTCAGGTATCTGACATTATTCAGGGGAGTAAAGAACAGGCACTTCAGTTCAATGGACGTATTTACATGGGATAAATAGATTTAGTAGTTTGAGTCAACATTGTGACTCATGCAGAGAAAGGCAAGGCTGGGGACTTCAGCTGTTTATGGGAAGTGTTGGATGGGCAGCTGTGGCTATGATAGCCAGGCAAATAAACAAGCAAAGAGGTGAAGTGGTAGCTGCTATGGTGAGAAGGCTGTCCCAGACCAGCCCTCTCCTTGCACTGCCTGGGCAGGCTGTGTGGCACGGGGCTGGTCCCCTCCTGACTGCGCTGCAGGGACACCTCTGTGCACAGGTGTCCCTGCTTGTCCCACCCAGACACAGGAAGGCAGGACCTCTTGACATCAGGAGCCCTGGTGGGCTACGTCCTATTCCAGGCTAGTCAGCGCGGCCCCCTGGGACGTGAAGGACCTCCTTGATGTAGCAGTGGGCCAGGTGTGGTCTTGGTGTCCTTCTCATGGCCTGCTGGTATGCACCCAGCCTGAGGCAGAGAGGAGACCCTGGCTCACGTGCATGTTGACTGGGGAGGGAGCCAACTCTTTAAGGTTTGGGCTGCACTTCTCCCATCGTTTCATGAATGCTTCCCCTCCCAAGGCCCCACCAGGCTGCAGGGTCCCTTCCTGTTCTTCCTGCCCACGCTGGCACCCTCCCTACCAGGAGGAAGGAATGGGCTGGCGGGTCCTGGCAATTGCTGGGACCTGTTTCCATCCACAGCTCCTGTCACGGCTCCTGCTGCTGCAGGAGAAAGCAGCAAGTTTTCTGTGCTTCCATTTTATGAACAAGGACCGTAAAATACTTCACATATAGCAAGTTTTGGATGTGGTGTGGCTAAGCAGCTGCAGGAGCCGAGGCCTCGTTGCTGATGAGCAATGTGGATCTGTTTAGAGATGTAAGATTCCTTTAGGAGAAAATATCTAGTTTATTCTGCTGTCCAGTAACAGGCTCAGCTCTTGTTTTTTTGATTGCTTCCATAGGATGTGAACACACTTTAAATCTGGTATTTCATTGAGTGAAGCCATGATTTGGCTATATTACATTAATGAGAGTTAAGAGACCTCTTTTTAAATGTTTAGTTTATTTACTAATTCAGGAATTGGTTTGAAAATTCTTGGAATCTAGCAGGTGCTTTTGAACATGGGTGCAGATGGTTTGTTTAAGGACTCCTGGCAATGGTGACCTTTTATTCCATTTTCCCTCCCTTTTACTACAACAACCAGTTAAAAAGCCATAAATAAGAATAGTTTCTCCTGTGTGCAGAGCTAGTAATGACTTGCAAAGGGTGCACCTGCCTGGAAATGCACTTGTGGAGGGGTGGTCTTATGAGGAGCAGCTGAGGGAACTGGGATTGTTTAGCCTAGAGAAGAGGAGGCTGAGGGGAGACCTTATCGCTCTCTACAACTACCTGAAAGGAGGTTGTAGTGAGCTGGGTGTTGGTCTCTTCTCCCAAGTAGTTAGTGATAGGATGAGAGGAAATGGGCTCAAGCTGCGCCAGGGGAGGTTTAGATTGGATATTAGGAAAAATTTCTTCACAGGAAGAGTAGTCACGCATTGGAACAGGCTGCCCAGAGAGGTGGTGGAGTCACCATCCCTGGAAGTGTTCAAAAAATGTGTAGATATGGCACTTTGGGACATGGTTTAGTGGGCATGGTGGTGTTGGGTTGATGGTTGGACTGATGATCTTAGAGATCCTTTCCAATCTTAATGATTCCTAGCTTTTACTTTCATAAAAAAATAATCCAGCCACCAAGCCAGGAAACATGAAATTATTACTCTACCCTTAACTGGTTTAGTGGTGGACTTGGTAGTGTTATGGTTGGACTGGATGATCTTAAAGGTCTTTTCCAACCTAAACAATTCTATGATTCTGTGTGGTTTCTTGTGCGCAGGGAGCAGAGTAGCAGTTTGTTCAGGGTCAGGTCTGATTGCTTGTCAGGTGCTTTGGCCAGGGGTGTGTAATTCAGCCTGTGCGTCCGCTCTGCACATAGGGCTGCGTGACCTTTCCTTACACCCTTTCCAGGGCAGTGCTCAGCACTGCCTTTCTGGGGGATGTTGAAGCCTGAAGCCATTCAGGGTTAATTACAATCATGAGCAGTGTAAGAGCTGTTAGAGAGCTACATATTTTCAAACTGCTTAGCTGGTTGCATTAGGTATATCATATCACACTCAGCAATAATGAACACAGCACTGAGAGCAAGAAGCACTTCCCAAGGAACCATCACTGCAGCTTACAGAGCCCACAGGGGCTTGGAGCTGGTAACTGCAGGGTGGGCTGGCAGAGACATGTCCATCTTCTAGGAGCAGCACTGGCTGTCATGACACAGGGTGGACAGCCTGTTTCCTGGATAAGGACAAAATGAAGTAAGTTCTAGGGAGGAAGATTGACTCTTTCTCCCTCTAGCATCCTAGGAGGACTTCAGTGGAGTGATGGTCTGCAGAAGCTGATGTGCTCCCCACAGACAGGGTTTGCTCCAAGGTACGCACAGAGAAGACCCCGAGGCATGTTGCTAGGACAGCCTGTGATCTCAAGCAGTGGAGTTGTTGCTGTCCTTGCTTGCTGCCTCTGAGGTGGGGAAACCCAACTCCACAGCTCCACTTCCTTCCTTCCAGGCATGCACCCCCTTCTGTGGGCTTAGACCCACCTGCGAGCTGATTTAACCCATCTGCTTGGAAAGAGGAAGCTTCCTTTTCTGAACTGGGCTCAGTTGGTGAGCTGAACTGGCTCATAGAAGGCTCCAGGGAGCACCAGAGTGCTGTGGTGGCTCTCATGTCTTCTAGCTGGTGGGGAACTCAACAGAAAATTCTGCAGTGGTGATTTAAGAAAAAAATATGGTATGAAGTTCAGGTTATTCATTATCAAAATAATAGTAACAAGATGAGGGTTGTAAGCTGCTCTGCCTTGGGAAACAGAAGGCATGACCGTTACATTGGTAGGGGACCTCGCAGCCACCTCCGACTTGACACTTGTCCTTTCTGCATGGCCATCTCTGTGAGCCTGGGACAGCTGGGTGGATGTCCCATGGAGGGCAACCACAGGATTATCCCAGACGTGTTATGGTGTACCTAGGTCTCTGTCCTGGCACCCTGGCAGTGCTCAATGGGCTGTGCTGAGCTGTCAGTGTGCTGCACTGACTGCCATCCCAAAAAAAAGCATCACTTTTAGCTCCTCAAGTGGCTCGGCCTACACTGGCAAAAAGAGTACAGCAAGGATGAGGGTGGGCAGGTGGGTGGCAGGACAAGGGCAGCCTAGTGTAGTAAACCACCCAGCGTGAAACAGCTGTCCCTGGGCAGCAGGGGTGGTCTGTGGCTTGGCCCTCTCCGCTTTTGGTCCCCCATTGCAGGGACCCACCCCTTCTGTGTGAAGAGCCACCTCAGGGCAATAACCTGCCAGAAAAAGAGCCAAGATGAGTGAGTATTTCCATGCTGGCTTTGTACCCTGAGCTGGTTCCTGTACCACCAAATACATGGTGGAGGGCAGTGGGGTTGTGCAAGGGGGAGAGCCGCACTGGCAGAGCACTGACTGCAGAGCTGTACCGTGCGTGTACATAGATCGAGAGTCGCTTTTATTTTCTGCGAACTTTGAGAACTGCAGTCTGCTTAGGATGCTGTGAAGATCCTTCTTCTTTTTGCTTGTATTTTACTGTAATGTGGCTTGACATAAGTGCCATTTAAACAACAAGGCAGGTAAACCAGGCACTGAAGCACTTCAAGATGCTTCAGCTAGCCCTGCAGAATATCAAACAGAGTGTTGTGCCTTGTCCCAGCAGCAGGATTGGGGGTGGGAGAATTGGAAATGGCCCCTGAAGTAGGGGGTTACCAGTGGGCAGCCAGGGTGTGTCCAAGGAGTTTGACCTTACCTTTTGTTCATTAAAGCTTCTGTTGATTCGCATCTATTCAGGAGATTTCTTTGGACGAGACCACTAAAAATTGTAGTCTTGTTATTTTCTGACTGGATTTTGCTGGTGTCTATTGGAAATACAGATTCTGAGTTTTCCCTAGCTGTAGTTGTCCCCTGGCTGAGTTGGGCACGGTGATGTGTCATGGGAGCTCACTGGCCCCTGAA